AAGGCCTCTAGGTGAACGGGCAGAATCAAAAATCCCAGAGATTTTTCACAGGTCTCAGCAGAGGAGTAACTGTATTTATGTTTGTCTTATATTTTCGTCTGTGTTTTTGCTGTCAGGAAGTTCCCTTTCTTTATCATCTTGATGAATGTTTGTGTTTATGGCACTTTTAATTCTTGGGAGGATGAGTGGATAAGTACATCATAAGTAGATAAGTGCCTGTGCTGGGGATTGGAGTAATTTGACTATAAAGGTCATGAGACCTTAGTAATAAGAGCAAGGAATGTGTGATCAGAGGTCAGGCCCAGGCCAAAGCCTGGACAGCTCAGTTGGACCGAGGGTGATAGAGATTGCTAGTTGTCTTCCAATACCTGTTTCCCATCTTCCAGGGGGATAAAATGCCTGATTTCTGGCTGAGTATATGGCTGCCCAAAATAGGGACTACATTTTCCAGCTTCCCTTATAAGTGTAGTCGAATGACTAGGTTCTGGTCAATGAGGTGAGAAATCACCTATCTGTTCATTTTTCTTTGTCTTTTCCTGTATCTTGCTGCCTGAAATGCAGATCCTATTGTCTTACACGGAGAAGAAGAGCCACAGTCTGGGGGTGGGGCAGCAGGGAGATGGAAGGAGCGTGAGTCCCTGAGGACTATAGGGTGGAGCTGCATTTCAGCTCTGGACCACTTACCAAATCACTTTTATCTTATTTAAGCCATTGTTATTTTGGCATTTCGCCACTCATGGTTAAACCTAATGCTTACTGATATAAAGTATTACTGTAGACTTATCTGGCTGGATTTCTTCCTGACAGAAGGGCTAGCTTAGGGACTTTACACAAAGGTGCAAAAGTCTGTTTTTTATACTCCTGTCATTATAACATAGTAGAGAGCCCTTTATAGAATACTCATGCATTGGCACTTGAAAAGCTCATATAGGGAGCCTATGACTAAGGGGTCAGAAGCCAGGGCAGAAGATTGGCAGCACACAAAGTGCATTAAAAGTGCATTGATCCTAAAGATCCTACTCAATGTGGGAGCCAATCCTTAAGAACAGTTGGGCTGAGTCGGAGGTGATGGCATAGAGAGCAACAGGTGAAGGGAATCTCTAGTAAATGTTTCACAAAGCAGATATTGAAAAGTTATTTTATTCATTAACCAATTTAGATTTTTTAAATGCAAGCCAAATATCTAGTCAGGAGGAAGAGACAATGTTATGCCATGGCAGCTGGGGATATACAAATTTTGCTCATTATTTTAAAGAAAATAATGCAAGTAAATGTCTAACACAGCACTTGGAGTGTAGTACTCAATATATGTTAGCTGGTTAATATAATATTGTATTACGTTATCATATTACAATAAAAGAATTAAGCCTATTAACAAATTGTCTGGATTACTAACTGAATAAAGTGAAGTCTCTCTTTTAACTTATTTTGTCATGTTTTTGCTTCCTGATAATTTTTATTTTGACTACATTATACATGGATAATAAAAGTATTAGCAGCTATGTTTTGTTGAGCATCTACCACGTCAGAGATGTTTTACACACATTACTTCATTTGCATCTTACAAAATTCCTGATAGATCACATAAATCATTTTACCAGATGAAGTAACTGGGATTCAAAAAGGTTTCGTGGCTCAACATCTAACTTAAGATCACATCACAGGTGCAGTGAATCCAGGTCTGTTTATTCCAAAATCCATGCTCTTTGCCTTACACCCGTTCTTACTCTTTCCTTGGTAGCAAGCTATATGTCAAGTTTCATTTGTGGTTCACTGTGGACTATTGAACAAAAATGGGGGACAAAATTGTTCCCCTTGTCATGTTGTTTTTAACAGATTTTTAAATCAGTGAAGATACAGTAGTATGTGCTTGCATGAAAGAAGGAATAAATCAGTAGTTATGAGAAATGTGAGAAACAAAACAACAAAATGTAAATGAGTAACTTACAGATGGGACCTGGGAAATAAAATGATTATTAAATATTACTAATTGCTTTTACTAGTGAACTTAGTGCCTTAGTGAACTATTACTTTGTTATAATATTCATAAAGTTGCAAGTTTAGGTATTTTATTCCAAAATTTAAAACTACTATCCCATTGCAAAAATTGTTATAGAGATGTATACAATGAATTATGAATATTTTACTTTTTTCATAAAATTCAGTATGTATTTCCATTTGCAGCACATCTAAATTCAGACTAGCCACATTTCAAGTGCCCAATAGCTAGTGGATAATGGATACCATTTGGGCAATGCAAGTCTAGATTCTCAGAATAATCTGGATAATTAGATCATAATCCTTAGAATTTATTTTAAAAAAACAACCATAGAACCAACCTGCCACATGCATGACCTAGTTTATGATATATTACTATGATAAATTGATGAAAAATATTTGTCCTGGGGAAAAATAATATGAAAGCTACAAATGACCCACTTAATGGCGCTCCTTCCTATGTTCTAAGGTTTGGAAGACATTAGTTCTCTGTGGCTTTTCACTATTTTGCCTACTTCTACACGCTAAGCCTAAATATGTCAATTTAACCTGGTAATAAGTTTGTCCCCACAGCAAGCTGTCCTAATACGCCACGGACGTGTTTGAAAGGATGAGGCTGGTAAGCCATCCCAACGGTAAAGAGCTCCATGCTTTTAGAAATACTCGCCCTAAGGTAGCTGCATCTACACAGCCTTGTATCTGATTCCCAAACCCAGTCGAAAGGGCTTAGATTTGCTGTAGGGAGAGGTGGCTAGTTTCCCTCCTATTCCAGCTGTTGCAAGCTCTCTCATTCCTGCCCTGCCATCAAAAGGACATTAGAATGGAGGAAAAGTGACTTAACCATTACTTTCTCCCTTAACTCTTAACAGGGCTGATATCCAGGACTTGAATATTAGCTTGGGAAATATTTCGATGTTTATTCTCTGACATAGGAATCCTAGGTTACTTCAAGCATTAAAGTGATTGTTTGAGAATTTAACCAACTATAGGACTAATTCTCAGCACTGCAGCAAAGTTTTCTGTAGTATTTTGGAAATAATTGATTTGGAAATAGTTGCTAATGCATATTAATTCTTGTCCAGTTTCTGAGCCCAATTCATTCATTAAATAACTCATTTACACTCATTCTGTGCCCAGGCACTTTTCTAAGCAATGGGGCTACCTGATACATGAACATCCCTGCCCATGTGAAGCTAGCATTCAAGAGCAAGGAGACAGACAAAACAAATTCTACCTTATATTAGAAGGCAACAGGTGCTATGGAGGAAAAAAGGGAAGTGGAGAGGAAGTGAGGGGTGGGTGAGGGGAACGTGGGTCGCAATAGAGTGAAAAGTACAAATCATACAGATATAGTGACATTTGAGCAAAGTTTTGGTGGAGGTGAGGAACCATGCCAGCATCTGGAGAAGAGCTTTCCAGTTAGAGAGAACAGCAAGTGCAAAGTCCTGAGGAGGACAGAGCGTGCTTGGCAAGTTCAAGGCACAGAAAGAAGGCAGTGTGGCTGGAACAGAGTGAGCAAGGGGGAGAGTAAGAGCAGGGGACTTCCTACTCCACGAGTGTGGTTTATGCAAGAAAAACAATGCAGACCTATCAGCAGACACTTGCTTAAGGAAGGGCGTTGGCTTTCCTGCAAAGATTGACAGTGAATGTATGTAATTGATGTTCACAGAGTAGATTTGATTCCCTGTCCTATCCAGCTTTTTCCCCCAACTGACAAACTGCCTGTTCAGATCACATTGAAGATGACTTTTCACTGCATTTTATTGATAATTTACATACTTTATAAATGTTCATGTGTACAACGAATGGTTTTTCTTGAACTATGTTCTGTTTCTTCATTCTGATGCACATGGGGGAGCAAGACTAGCGTGTGGATTTTCGTTTTTAGTGTGTTTTGTAAAGAATGAATTCACTTTGACTTAAAATCCACCTTTAAGATTTGGGGGCCGGCTGGAGGCACAGCAGTTAAGTTCACGTTCTGCTTTGGCAGCCCGGGGCCAGCCCAGATCCCAGGTGCACACTGCTTATCAAGCCATGCTGTGGCAGGCGTCCCACATATAAAGTAGAGGAAGATGGGCATGGATGTTAGCTCAGGGCCAATCTTCTCCAGCAAAAAAAAGGAGGATTGGCAGTGGATGTTAGCTCAGGGCTAATCTTCCTCAAAAAAAAAAAAAAAATTAGACTGTAAGCAGTAAGGATACACAACTTGAGAGCCCAGAATCATAAAGCACAATGAATATTTTTAAAAACTATAACCCTATCACTAAACAAATCATTAATCTGCTGTATGCAACAAAATACTATTAAAAAGTTTATTTTCATTGTTTGTAGAAGAGGATGCTGCAGAAATACTCTTTGGCCCCCAGAGGGCGCAAGGCAGAAAGCAGTCCAAGCTGAGTTGATCCCTCCAGATGGCAGCACTACCTCCTTACCTGGGCTGCTGAAGAGAAAGGGAAAAGTGGTTGACGTCCACCTCAGAGGATATTCAATATGGCATTCCAGTAGCCAAGGACTGTATATATTTGACTCTACCTCTGGCTTTTGAAATGCAGTAAACACAAAAATTGCAGAAACCTCTTTACTCTATCCCCTTCTGCCTTACCTACAGAAATGGAGTGTGTATGTGAGAGCATGAGAGAGGATGAGAGAGAGTACTAGAATGCGTGTATGTGTGTGTGAGAATGTGTGCGTATCTGAGTGTGAGCGAGTATGTGTACGTGCATGTGAGAGCATATGAGAGAGAGAGGAGGAAGGAGCCCACAGTGCTCCAGGCTTTAATTCTTCTAAGAAACTTAAGAACACTGTGGAAAGTACACGAACTTGGCTAGACGATGCATCAAATTCACAGTTCTCAATGTTCTGCCAAAGGCTAAAGCTGCAGATCTTTCCTTCAAGACAGGAAACAAAACCCAGGCACAACCCCCTTTGTGCTCGCCCTAATGTTTCAGTGACATTTTACTTATCACTTTGATGTTTAGAGGAATTTTACTACTTGAGCGGGATTTTTTCCTCTCGTCAATAGTTTATTGAAGTGTTTCAAAAGCAGCACTTATAGCACAATATCCACTATTAAGAATTTCATATGCCTATTTAACTGCTGCATGACTGTCATTCCTTTATTGAAATTAACATTATGAACACATAATGGAAAAATGCTCCTCAAAAGAGGAAGATGAATGCCGACCATCAATAGAACAAAGCTATCTTCAAAAGATAGAGATGTAGGAAATCGTTTCACAGTTTGGTTTACAAGAACATGAGGACAAAGTCCGTCTATGTATGTGTATCTGCCAGGTTTTGCATGAGGTGGCTCAGGAATGTCTCCAGCTGCTTCCTTGATCTGTATGCAATCAGTCCACCCCTGTTGGCCCACCGATCCACTCCAGTAGCACCTGCGTTTTCCACGTGGTACACCAACTGTAGTAAGTCAGGCCCCGTTTCTGGATTTCTTTCCAAGCATTCTTTCAAATCTACCATTCCCCCACCCATGGCCCTGAGTATGGCATGAGGAGCACAAGAGTCCCACTTGAAGGTGGTGTCTTCTGAGAAGATGTAAATGTCAACAAGGCCTTGGACAACACAGAGGCTCTTGTAACCAGCCCCAGCTGCTGGGAACACGCGCTCTCCACACACACGTGACAGTGCAGCTTTGATGGTCTCCTTTTCACTCGTACTGATGACAGCTGAAAACTGGTGGGAGAATTCCGCCTCAGAGCTGGTGTTTGTGGTCAGTTGGCTCCGGGTGTCACTGCTGTTTCTTTTAGAGATGGAAGGCTGAAGGGAATGGATTTTGGTCTCCATGTAAGAAAGCCCCCAGTAGCACTGTCCTTTCCACCTAGGGAAGAGAACTTTCACTTAGTGACGGTAGGTGATCACATTTGTTTTTTATTATTCGTGTTGCTTTCTAACTTAATGATATGAAAAAGATATAATGTAACGAGTCTCAATGTCCTTAAGCCTTGAAATGGATATCAACTAGCTAATTCATTTCTACAAGTTACTCCTGTGCATGAAGCTGCCTGTGTGGTTGCAGGTTAGGAATGCTTTGAGTTCTATAGTGTTATCACATCGATCTAGGATGATGGGAAAATATGTGTGGGATTTCCGGCCTCTAGGGACACAGCAAATTTCATTGCCACTTTTGGTCTTTAAACTTTAATAGGGAAAAAGGTGAACAGATAAATAATTTCTCTTTTCAATCTGCAAATCTTTTACTCCTTATAAGCTTTTCTTCATTTCATAACTCTTTTTCATTCTCTTATTCACTGGTTCCACCTTGACTTTAACACCAAGAAAGATGGACTTGTATTTTTGGCAACAACAATAATAGTACCTATCATTTCTCAATGTTTACCTTATCATATATGTTGGGTAATTGACTCTTTCCAGAGGAGGAAGCTGAGGCTTAGAGAATGTAAGAGTAAGAATTTAAGTCAGTGGCTGAATCTGCATTCAAACCCAGGAATTCTCACTCCAGAATCTGTTCCACTAACTACTTTATCACCCATTTCTAGGCCACGATTATCTCTGCATACAGTCCCTTAATGACCCTTTAAAGATAACAGAAACACATTTTCAGTTTGGAGGAAGGCAAGAGTAGAGGAAAAATGTCAAAATTTCAGAGGTGTAGTTTATGACTATTAAAGAGCAAACAATTACTAGTTGCTTGAAGCAACTCAAAGTTTAACAAAATTATTTAGTCCTATATAAATAGAAATATAGGACTTATTTCAATAAAAACTTGAAGCCACAGGAGAGAAGCTGCTTGCTTCCACAGACTCTGACATGCCCTGGAGTCAACCAAAGCATCAGGCCATGATCAGAGGCAGTTGGCAGCCTGACCACCTCTATGCTCCGTACAGAAGTCCATAAGGGGGGAGGAGGGAGGAGGCAGAAAAGGAAGTGATGCTGCCAGTATTTACAGCAGAGAACCCCATAGTCGGGTTCTGATCCTGGCCATTCCTATTCATCTTTTCATTGGATAATTTTCACATTTTGTTTTGAATTTTTTCTAAAATTATATAAATGTTCAACCGGCTATATAGTGATGACATCTATCTTGTTCCAAATATATTAGGAGACAGTGTTACACTGTGCTATTAATCTGGTTTTGAGTGGATTCTAGAAAACGGGGAACAGGACTGCTCTATTCCAAATGCAAAACTATGATTTCTCCAAGATAGCATTTCTTTTAAAAGTTTCTACCAGCATGCACCTAGCCTCAAAAAAAATTATGCCAAACCCAAGACTGAAAATAGAACTCTAATTCAACCATGCAGACTTTCAGTAGGAATACCCCAATGTACTGAGCCATGGGAATGCCACATGGAGGGACAATCATGACAATTTGCAAAGCTGAGGTTGTAAATTCTAAAAACCATAATACACCAAAAATGCTCATCTTTTACCTGAGGGTATGGAAGTCTTGTGATACAAAAGGTTGGTTGATGACTCCCATCAGGGGCACCCCCGTCTGTATGTCATAGACACCAATTAAAATGGTGACACACTGAAGTCCACTGGGGAAGATTCCTTGGTTGGATTTAACGTCAGCAGAACCTTTTATATACTGATAAGTTGAATCTGAAAAATGAACCAAGTTTGTTTAGATTCAGGAAATGATTATTTAGAAGATAAGGATGAATGTATCTATAAACTCTGCCCTATATCATTTCTGTCTTCTAGTAATTTGGTAACTGCTATGGTCTGAATGTTTGTGTCCCCCCAAAATCATAACCCCCAAAAGGTGAAGGTATTAATAAGTGGGGCCTGTGGGAGGTACTCAAGTCAGTAGGGTGGAACCCTCATGAATGGGACTAGTGCCTTATAAAAGAGGCTCAGAGAGATCCTTAGGCCCTCCCACTATGTGAGGACATGGTGAGAAGGTGCCAGCTATGAACCAGGAAGAGGGCCCTCACCTAACCGTGCTGGCACCTTGATCTTGGACTTCTCAGCCTTCAGCACTATGAGAAATAAATTTCTGTTGTTTATAAACTACCTTTGCTGTTAGTATTGTTGAGTTGATTCTGACTCCTAGTCGATTCCTAGCGACTCTGTGTACAGCAGAGCGGAACCCTGCCCAGTCTTTTGTGCACCATCCTCTCACCTTCCGGTGCTCTATCAGACAATGCTCTGCTGCTGCTGACAGGGTTTTCATGGCCAATTTTTTTGGAAGTGGATGGTCAGGTCCTTTTTCTTAGTCTGTCTAGTCTGGAAGCTCCACTGAACCCTGTCCACCATAGGTGACACTGCTGGTATTTGAAATACCAGTGGCGTAACTTTCGGCATCACAGCAACACGCAGCTACAACAATATGACAACCAACAGATAGGTGATGTGGATGCCTGAAATGGAAATGAATCTGGGCCAAGGCAGTGGGAGCACTGAATCTTAACCACCAGACCACCAGGGCTGGCTATAAGCTACCTAGTCTGTGGTATTTTGTTATAGTATCCTGAACAAAGATGGTGACCAATCAAGTTTTACCTTTGCATGACACTTGTACTGAATTGTTATTTAACCTCTTGCACTTCACTGTTAAGCTGCTTGTGTTTCATTTTCCCAACTCTATGGGAACTCTTGAAGGAAGAGCACATGTCTATAGTTCCTGTGGCATCTAGCATAACACCTTACATGTAATAAACACTCAAATATCCATCACATGTCAAAAAGCATTTAAAAGCTAATGTCTCAGGATAAGTAACGGGATTCTTTCGAGATCTTACTAATCAGAGGACAAGTCCAACGTGGATGGGAAAGCCTTCTTCCAGGAATCTGTCCTAGGTGGAATTACCTTTTTTTGGTCCCTCAAATTGGAAGGAGGAAAGAGACAATGATGGTGGCACAAAAGGAAGAAACAGATGGTTCTCTTATGAAAAAGAAGTCAAGGAGCTACGTTTCTGCTTAAGAGATGTACCTGCCAGCAGCTGAGACTGCCAACAGCTAGTTGGATGTTAACTAGAGTTAACTCCCAGTTAAGGATGTGCTGGGCAAAAGATCCAGAGAGGTGGCTAACAGAATCAGTTCAGGATAGGACCAAGAAACAGGCAGTTCCTTTCCCTCAGAAACCTTAACTGATGCTGATTTACCCTTAAGTGATAAAAGATTTGGGCAAAGATTCTTAATTTGCATATACAATCCATTGGCTGAATATTCTATAATTCTCTGATGATTAAAGGCATTTCTATAATGTTGTATTAATGTGCTTGTAGGATGGGGAGGGTGGGAGGGGTTTGCCTGCTCAGCATAATGAATGGTCCCAGTTGTGTTGGGTGGAGTATGTCAGGCAAGTGGGAAAGAAAAAAAGAGCTTTCTGAAAATTAACATCTAGGGCATTGTATTAACAGCATCATTGAAATAGGTCTACCCTTTAAAACAATGAGCTATAGATTATGGTTCTACCACAATCATGACCCCCCCAAAAATGCGTAAGGTTTACAAAGGGCTCACAAACTGACTGATAATGAGTCACATTCAGCTGTATTCTGACCTGTATAGTGATTTTAATTGTTTAATTGAATTAGTAGACAGTGGTTAAAAATTGGGTGATTTCACTTAAAAACCTGGATTTGGGTTTCTCTTTAAAGATTGAAGATCTGGACTGTACTCCCATATGGCAACAATCTGCTGGAGCTGAGTGTTCTTTAAATGGCAAGCGTGATCAATTAGTTATAGCTGCGATCAATTCATTCCTCTCACACATTTGCCAGTCTGGCCCCTGAAGTCTTTCAAAGATGAGTTAATTCAGCTTCATATATGTGCCTGTACGGGTGTGTGTGTACACATAAATCTGTAACACACATCATAACACATACACTTCAACTCTTCATTTGTCATTGTAAAACTTGAAAATTTTAGAAACTTCTGGGAGAGTTAAACTACACTCTCAATTTTTATTTTTCCAACCCCCCATCCCACCCCAAATAAGGATCACTAATAACAAAAAATGAACAAAAGTAAACACTCTCCTCTACTTACCTATGGGATCCACCCAAATTCCCAAAATGTCCTGTGGAATGTTGATCTCCACTGAATCCAGAGTTGGGTCAGTAAAGGTGACATCCTGGTGAACCACCTTGGCTAATGCTTCAGAAGCCAACTTATTACCATTAAGGACTTTGCTAAGAAGCTCTACTGTTTCTTTCTCTGTTGGACACAGTCTCAAGATAATCTTTTCCCCTAGAGTAAAGACAAACTAAAAGCCATTACATTTCAAGAGTTTCGGGGGAGAGAAGGACCGCAGAGGGGTGCGAGGAGCAGAAGCTGTGCATTTAGATTAGGTGAGAGCAATGTACCCAGAGCACGGGGTCCTAACCTGGCTGACTGCCAGCAGCACCCGGGGGGCTTCAGAAAGTCACAGCTGCCCAGTGGTCACTCAGGCACCTAATGTGAATAGTGAGGGATGGAGTCCAGGTATCAAAGGACCTTCTCCCCAGACAAATGTCTACATGGGCACATGCACACAATTTTGTATCCAGTTTAAGGGGCCTCATGGACCAGTTAGGAACCCCTGAATCCTGAGTCCTTGATAATTAATCCTTTTTTTTGCCTTTTAGTATACATAGGTCACCCTGTTTGTGTTTGAATATGTTATTGAAAAGAGAGGTCTTATCAGCACAGGAAGTACTTCTACCTCCCTCTATGATCTGCTTTTAACTACGAATCGTTTATGCTCAGTAAAGCAATATAAGATGAAGTATACTTAATCTTTAAATGTGGCGAAACTGTTTGACTCTAAATGGCATACATAGAAATAGCTCTCCTCTTTGGAACCCACTAGAAGTCAGGGTGTAGGCAAAGCTGCTTCTCCAAATGAAACCACAAATTGCCAAGTCCAGGTGCTTTCCCATCACTTTAAATATGCTTCTTAGACCCTTGGCTAATCTGGTTTCCTGCTCCCCAAAAAAGTGAGGAAAGAGGCTGGCTAAAATAGGCAAATGAATAGCAACAAAAAGTGACAGCAATGGAGAATATATAAACGTTTAAAAATTAAGAAAACATGGCACTTTGGGGCTTTTGAAGTCTATAGAGAAGTACTCCTGGCGCTCCTAGGCATCCCAAGGACCAGTGGCATCTGCACCACCCGAGAGCTTGTTAGAAAGCCAGGCCTGCAGGCCCCCTCCCAGACCTGCCGAGTTTTCACAAGATCCCCAGGTGATTCACACATCATTAAGGTTTGGGAAGCACAGTATAAATCTATTACAATGAGGACTCAATCAGCAGAAACATTCAATTAAGTTTAGTTAAATTCCAATAAATTAGACTGTTAAAGTTGGGGATAATGATGCTCATCACTGCCACTGATGAAGCACCCACCCTGGGTTCAGCGAAAGTCATGGGATCATGCAAAGCAGCAAATCGTATCCCATCACTCCTTTGCTTCAAGTTCTCCAGTGAATTCCCAACACAGATGAAAATCCAAACTCCTTCCCACACATTCCCTCGATCTGTTCCTGCCTGCGCCCACCTCATCCACCAGTCCCTCCCCTTCTCTTGTCCACGTGTCTCTGCCCCTCCAACATGCTGACCCCACTCTCTCCTTCAGTTCTCAGGAAGATGGATGTGGAATGCCTTTTTGCCCCTATAATTCTAGAGAGATGAAATAAAATAACTTCATGAAGTGGTCAAACATAGGATTTTAAGGATAGGATTTCTTATGAGTTAATCACAGGTGAGATTTCTCTCCTTCCTACTCAGTGTCATAGAACTAATTGCATCTTAATACAGAGCTCATGGAGGAGATGAAAAATTTTCCCGAGTTAATCCAGAAATTAGTCTTTTCCTTTGTACATGTACCTCCAGATGTTTAACTATTTGTCACTTGATCAGTGTTTAAAGTTCACTGTTTTAATCTTCTACCATTAAACAAACCAAAAAAACCCAAACTAAAAATAATTTATTTTTCTGAAAAGAATCAGATTTTAACATTTTTCTCTCTACCACAAGGCAACATGGAGGTCCATCAAAGGAGAATCTGGCCAACAGGAAACTTATTAAATCAGGCTTAAAACTTGGTACTAAAAAGAACCTTTTAGTTAGTCCAACTCCCTTTACAGAGGTTCTGAGACCAGAGGAGTGGTGAGGTGATTTACTCAGGAACACACAGCATTTCAGGGACAGGGCCCCCTGTGCATTCTCAGCCAAGGCCTTAGGCTCCCCAGGGCGTCCACGAATGGGTTTAAACCTTGGACCTGAAATTGTCTGCACAACTGTGAAATGTGCATCTTTCTGGGGGCATCTATAACTTCCATTAGATTCTCACAAAGCCATGCAACTTTCCCAAAGGTTAAGTCATATATTATTTAAATGCTAAAGATTTATATCTAAAATAATACATGTGAACTTGCTAAATAATTCTAAGATACCACATCTCTCTAAATTAAATGGCATGATATTATGAGGCACTGAATGAAGCTTAACATTCAAATAGCACATTATTTTATTTAGATGAAAAGCTTCCAAACATCCATTTATTTCATGGTACAAGTTGAAAGTTAGAATATCATATGATAATTAATTTATAAAAATACATTAAGATTCTTATACTTACCCAAATCAGTAGTAAACTCATTGGATTCTTCTCCAAAAATTTTTTTTCCTAAGCCTGGAAACTGAATGATTCAGAGTATGACAAAAAACAAAAACCACCACCATAAAAACCCACAAACATGTTCAGTTATGAACAGATTTCCCTTTCACATTTCAAATTAAATTGCACAATTAGATCTGAAATTTAGAAATTCACGATTCCAGAAATCAATCCAAGTATGAAAAGTGAAGTCAGCTTAGTTCACTAGTTTTTTAATATTTTCTGCTCCTTTGCCCCCTCTAGAAAGCCCAAATTGTAGTAGAAGTCTAGTTTCCTCATGTCCTGTTGAGTTTGCAGAAACAATTCTAGAAACTTCAGCCTCCTCAAGGGCCACAGAACTAGAATGTTTCTAAAGGAGATATTTTAACTGTTGCTCTTAAATAGCACCCTAGTAGCTAATATGAGTTACTATTATTGACCACGTACCTAAATTATTACTTGGGACTGGACAGAAAGGATTAGAGGATAAGATTAGATTTTGTTTTCATCATCAGGTGTGTTTCCTGCACCTGTTGGAGGGATCACAAGCCTTCGGACTAGGAAGGTAATACAGCAAAAAAAGAAGGGAGATAATTGATTGATAGAAAAAACGGAGCTAAGAATCTTCTCTCATCTCCATATGACCAGGAAGCTTTCAGATACATTTTGCTTCTGATCCACTCTGTAGTAAAGATAATTTTTCTCAAAATATGTGCTAAATTATGATATATGTGATGTTCTCAGGGAACCAAAGCAAGGAAGCGTTTCAAATTTTTGAACTTAGTCAACTGCAGATGGCCAATAGCTCAAACAGTGCCCACAAACACGTGTTATTTTTTCCTCTTATGAAGAACAGTGCAAATCAACAGGGGCTGCAATGAGCCTACTCATTGGGGGCTGAAGCTACGTCTCCCAAGCCGGCTCAAAGGCCTGTTACTGAGGCTACAGGACATCATGGGCATGAAACCAAGACATTTTATATAGCCAAAAATTAATATCACTTATTTGTTCATCAGTCTGGCATATACCTCATGAATGAACAATTGCCTGAACTTGTGATAATGCTTTGGGGCAAATATTAGCCCATAAAAATTAATGTTGATACATTTCTAATCCAGTTGCTCAACCATCCCTTGCATCCAATTTTCTTGATCAGTAACAAAAATAAACTTGTTTCATTTAGTTTATTGGAGCCAGATATTATAGGGCATGAAAAAGCATAGTTTGTAGAGATTTCAAGGGGTCATTTATTCTCTCTTCCTACCTGTGGTCAAGAATTCACTTAAATGATTCCCAATATTTGAGAATGTCATGGAAACTATTCCAATATTTTGTAGTGCTTTCTGTCATAAAGTTCTATCCTTCCAAATCTAAAAAAATATGTAATTATTAGATCCTGTAAAAGGCAATATCGTATTGCAAAGAGCACAGACTCTGGAGCCAGTCGGCCTATGTTCAAAAACTGGCCCTGTTACTCACTTGTTGTGTGACCTTGGGCAAGTTACTTAACCTCTCTGCGCCTCCCTTTTCTCATCCATTACATTAGAACAATGGTTCTTACCTCCTAGAATTATCATAAAGTTAACTAAATTAATATATTTAATACCCTTAGAACAGTGCCTGGCACGCAGTAAGCACTTACAAATGCCTGCTAGTGCTAGTGTTTGTGATTACTCCTTGTGAAGACAGTTTCTTTTCCTCAGTCAGCTTAAGAAAAACCTAGAATCACAATCATTGTTTATTATAAACAATGTTTTTCTACTAGAAAATAAAGGAGGACTTTAAGTCTCCAGGACTGTATGAGCCCGAAACAGAGGCAACCACTAGCTAAATGACTACGTCAAAAAGAAAAAAAAAAGTTATAAAACAGTATGTTCTCATTTCTGTTGAAATAAATTAAATGTGCCACACACACACATAGAAGGAAAACGTTCTAACAATATTTAGCAAAACATAGCTGTGCTTTTCTCTAGTGTTGGGATTAAGAGGATTCTTATGTTTGCTTATTTTCCAGAGAACATGTATTCTTTACTAAAAAGAAACTCACTAATAAATGAAAAATTCCATACCAAACAGTTTCTCTCTAGCTGTTAAAACTGTGATTTTTTATTTGCTTTTCTGTATTTTTAAAATTTTTCTGCAATGAACATTTAGTAAGCTTGCAGTCAAAACAAGGAGGGGAAACCCCAAGGTGTTTATTTGGATCCAAGGTGCTCATATTCTGAAGGAAGAAAGGAAGGAAAAGGCTTGCTATTCTATCAGGGGACAAAAACCACAGAGGACGAACATTTTGCAATTACCTTGGCTGTGACCTTTCTTACCTTGTTCTCCATATTCTGTTTTATAACTTCCTGTACCAGCACATCAGCCAGAGTCTTGAAATCAACTGCAAACTTCTTGTTCTTCTCTCCCTCTTTCTTTTCTTCTATCAGCAGCTGGAAGAGGGCTTCCTGCTGCCTGCACGCCCGGGCGATGTTGGCAGCTTTCTCCGAGACACAGAGCAGCTCCCGGAGGATAGCTGACATTTCTGAACCCTGCTTTTCAGTTGCAGCTGCTGGGAGAATTGGCACCCACCCTCTGGGCCGTCACCTGGGAAAGTACAAGAATGTGAAAGAGAAAGCAGTTCAGAGAGTGATGTCAGGATGCCCGCAGCACTGCTGACAACTCATCTGGCAGTCAACCTGGTCAGCACAGCTCAACAGCTAACACACATCGCAGTCACATCCTTGGGCTGGAAGACTAGTGTCATCGAAAATTTGAAACTTATCTTTTTAAATCTTAAAAAATTTATAGTCTCAAAAATCCATTATGCAAAGAGTTGAATTCTCAGTGAAAGGAAGTCTTTGAATGAGAATGTGCATTTTATTTATAAATCCCTAGACAGGCAGGTAGGACACACAAGCATCATGTTAAAAGGAAAGCGGAATTCCTAACAACGGCCTTAGAATGACCACAAAGGCTTAGCGGCAGTGTTGAAGTACTGCTCTTTCTTTCACCCTATGGGGGAAGAAGGGAGAAGTGGGAGAGGATTTATCTTCTCAGTCCTGGTCCTTAGTACTTTCTGAAGTACTAAGTACCACACTAGCAAGCGCTGTTGTGTCCCGCAAGACTCTGAGGCCACTCTTGGGCTAGCAGCCCAAGCAAGCTCCCAGCCACCTTTTTTCCCCCTCTATTAGAAAAAAGTCCCACTCTCTGTGCTGCTCTTCTACCAAGTGTAAACAATCAAGTGAAGTAAGACATGCAACTTGTTGGGATTTGAAACGTTCTGGCTCTAAGAATGTTATGCAATCCTACCTCGGTATACCTATTGCATCTGTTTTGCAATTAGGAGAGAAAGATTTCTCATTTTTTCATAGTAGCTGCATTTTATTGAAAGGTTCAATAATTTCTATCTTATTATTTTGAGAATTATTGAGAGGATTATCAGTCCTGTTTTACAGTCAAGGAAACCGAAGCTTAGAGGTTAGGTAACTTCTTGAGTTACACAAGACTAAACGGCAGGGCTCAAAATGGGTCTTACACAGAAGCCCATGCTCTTTGTTATTATAATCAACAGTTTATTTCTTTTTTAAAAAGTTCCCTTCATGGACTCTAGGAGGCTGAGAATTAGTACAACTGTGAAGATGTCAATGCAATGGAGTTACTTGTGAATTGTCATCGAAGGTTTGTCTTAAACAAAGTTGCTGAAAAACTGCTGTCTTTTTAAGATGAGTCAACCACCATGAGAAAAAAAGTCCAACCTCAATAGTAATAAAAGGAAAGTGAATCAAAACAATGAGACATCCTCCTTCACTATTAGATAGACAGAGCTGTTTTTAAAGTTAACATTCATTCTTGGAGAAGCTGTGATGAAAGTGCTCTGTATGAAGCTGTGGGAAATTACTCTGCTAGTGGGCATGCAAACAAGCGTGTTTCCGGAGGGCAATTTGAGAAAAATATATCAAGATACCTAGTATTGTCACTACCTTTTAGCCAGTAACTCCAATCTTACCTTAATTTGTGTTAAGCAAGGCTGAGTTCAGTTAAAACATTTCTGCACAAGAAGGATTAATATTTACAGTAGCAAAAAGTTGAAAATAATTTTAAACATTGGTAAGATATAAGATAGACTACTATGTGGTCATTAAAATGTTTGCAAAGAATATTTAATAAAACGGAAATATGTTCTTGCTGTAATGATAAGGTAAAAAACGACCTATGACCATATATATATATATAGTATGATAGTATGTTACCAATTTGTGTTTATATGCACATATACACTCTATATATACATAGAGAGAGAGATTGAAAGACTAGTAGGTCATGTTTTAACGGTAAACAGATGTTTAACAGTATTTATCACTGTGTACTGAAATTGTGGATAGATTTTTTCATTATGCTTTTCTATAATTTTCAAATATTCTACAATAAATATATACTGCTTTTATAATGGGAAATGACATATTAAATTAACTCGCAATAATTAGGCATGAAGGACAAGAATTTCCTCAATTCCTGGAGACAACTGACCAAACAGTGTTACTATGGTAATAACACAAAAAGCCGCCAGGTGGTAGAGAGTACAGAGTTAAAGACTAAATAAAAACAAGTGCTTACCTAAATGCCTTTTTTTTTTTTTTTAGGAATGAATACGTTCAAAGATTCACTTTGGTTGACCTGAACCTAAACACTAAAGAAAACAATTATATTAATAAAACTGAGGCACATTGACTTAGAAATAATTTATGGCAACTGTATGCTATAAGTTACATATAATATATACATACACAGATGCATGTGTATCTTAGTAGAATACACAAGGCCCAAAAGTATAAATTCAATAACCATAATTTTGATTTCTTAGTAAACGCTCTGGGGTTGTAAGTGAAGGGAAAAGAATCAATGAACCAACAGTAGCTAAATAGCTTTTTATCTTAAAAGTAGCATGAAGATTTTAAGGAGTCCAAATTGAAAGCTTTCTAGGTAAACAATATCAGAGTTGTCATTTTTCACTCAACCTTGTTAAAACCAATTAAATTTTTTTCCTAAAATAAACACTGGACCACTACCCTGTTGGTTAACGCAGGAACTCTCCCTATGATGCCATCAGAACGCTCAGGTGAGCTGCTCACCTAGGCTCCAAGCTCCGGAACCAGCCCCAGCTCTTCCCTCACAGGGGAAGCTCACCGCCCCAGCCCTGATCGGTTTCCACACAGCTGCCCCAGGAATCTGGAGTTTCTGCCCTTTGGACCTGACTTACTTCCTCAATAATGACCATTCTCACCTCACTTGAGTACAGCACCTTGACCACTAGGAAAGAAATACCAGCTATAAACCACAGTCCTGTAATTAACAGGTGTTTAGACTTTAGGAATTTGTTGTAACACAGTAATCAGGTTTTCCAGGTCCAAAGTGATCTCAGAGTGCAACCTTAATCATTCTTCATTCTGACCCTAGGGAACACTATTGTTCTTTGTCAAGCTCCGGGTTGAATGCCCAGTTTCAGTTTGGGACTAAGCTTTCTCCAGCCATCCTATAGAACCCAGCTCTTCTTTAGCTATTTACCTATCTCCAGGGTCCCAGCTCCCTAAAAACATCTCTCTCACAGCTATCTCATCTACATGTAAGACTTTCGAATTAATTTGCATGGCTAGCCTGCTACTTTCTGACTGAATGGACCATTTCCTCCAAATGAGTCAAACCACCATTCTCTGTGCTGCTCTGTAAGCTGCTTCCATCTCTCTCTCTGTCCTCAACTCAGTTCACTCAAGCAGGTCACAACCCTGAGGGGAGGACGGGCCAATGCATCCTGACCTTGAGTGACTCAACTTGAGATAAATTGTCTACAGGGAAACTGAGGGCTACCTCCAATGCAGCATTTCTTCAGTGTTATCAATAGCTCTTAACACTTGGGGAAATTATCCTTCAGATGATTTTTTTTTAATAAGATTGGCACCTGAGCTAACATCTGTTGCCAATTTTCCCCCCCCCCACTTCTCCCCAAAGTCCCCCAGGACATAGTTGTGCGTTCTAGCTGTGGCTACCTATGGTTCTGTATGTGGGACGCCGCCTCAGCATGGCTTGACCAGCGATGTCATATCTGCGCCCAGGATCTAAACCAGCGAAACCCTGGGCCACTGAAGCGGAGCGTGTGGACTTAACCACTCGGCCACGGGGCAGGCCTCTCAGATGATTTTTAAAATTTAAAAAAGTTTGCAAACTCATTATTGACTTAAGTCAGCTTTATTTAAACATTTTAAATACTTTAAATGAAAATTATTATAAACTCCCAATTGGTAAGTTATGCATTTATCATAGCCTTGAATATAGAAGAAATTCCTTTTGATTAGTTTTCTTAATGTGCATTCCGAGAACCACCCGTATCAGAATTACCGAAGATGGCTACTCAGAAGACAGATTCCTGGGCTCCACCCCAACTTAGTGGATCAGAAGCTCTGGGACAGGGCCCAGGAATCTGTATTTTAGTCAGCTTCCTGGTGATGCTAAACACTGAGATTTAATAGCTCCTGTTCTTCAGGCTGCTTATTCTTCTTTAACACTATGCTGGCAATTTCGGGGGGGCTGGCACCTGGTGGCAGATTATCTTGGTGGAACCATGCAGGTGCAATGGTTCTGCCGTCAGTTATCCATGTGCAGAGATAGGCCCAAGTTAAATAGTAATAGCTAACATTTATTAGGTGCTTACTGTATGCCACATATCCTTCTAAGCACTTTACATATATTAACTCATTTAATTCTCACACAACCCTATGAAGAAGGTACTATTATCTCCATTTTACAGATAAAGAAACTGAGGCACAGGAGGTTAAGTAATTTGCCACAAATCACACAGCTAGGAAGTGGCTGGGACAAGATTCAAGCCCAGGCATGCTGGCAGAAGCCCACACTGTCAGCCAGTACTCTAGCCAATAAAATTGTCTCCTAAGTTGTTAGCTGTTAATAAGGGAAGAAATGAGTAATTATTGGATTAATAATTATAAGCATATTATTATTATGAGGTATATCATATAGCAAAAAGTAGAGAAGTACATACCTAGCTGGAAGCTGTTGCTAGTTTGACTATTATAAATCACTATTGAATTGACACCTGACTTCCCTTCTACTCTCAGAAAAACCGTTCCCCTGGTTGGTCCTCAGTCTCACCATAAACCATCTCTGCTGGATGGTAAAAGCTCACCCATCATGTTCTGCTGACGTCTCTCTTAACTGGCTCTCACAGCAGTGGTGCAGGGGGCATAGCTCATGCCAAGTATCTAATTCCTCTTGTATTAGTGTGCTAGGGCTGCCATAACAAAAACCACAGACTGCGTGGCTTGAATAAAAGAAGTTTATTTTCTCACAGTTCTGGAGGTTGGAAGTCCAAGACCAAGGCATCGGCAGGCTTGGTTTCTCCTAAAGCCCCTCTCCTTGGCTCACAGACGCCTGCCTTCTCTCGTGTCCTCACACGGCCTCTCCTCTGCCTGCGCATCCCCAGTCTCTCCCTCCTCTTCTTAAGACACCACTCAGGTTGGATTGGGTCCGCCCAGCCCATGTAACCTCAGTTAACCTTAATTACTTCTTTAAAGGGCCTATTTCCAAATACAGTCACATTATGAGGGGCTGGGGGTTAGGGCTTCCATGTACAAATTTTGGGGGGATACAATTCAGCTCACAATGCTTCTCCGGCAAGAGAGACCTTGATAATCTTAGCAAATGCCAACACGACCTATTTCTTTGTCTTTTATTTTCTCACCAAATAGTAAAAATGGGGTAGGGTTCTCTTCCTCATTTCTGTGGTCCCTTTAACAGCCAAACCATTGATGATGCAGTGAGCACTGAAATAACCTCTCATAAGCCTTGCTTTGTGACAATCTATTTCGAGTTACATTTGAGCAGAACAGGTTTGAAGAAGTTACAGTCCTCACCATCTCAGACCAAATGGATACTGTATTTTAACATGAGATTGTACCACAATGTCAGATAGAAATAGTCTCATTAGCTTTGGGGGATATTCATATCCAGCTAAAGAAAGACTGAATAAATTGAGGTAGGTCAGAAAAAAAAAAAAACGCTCTTAAGACTTTCCCTGGAAGCCTAAATCTCTCTACAAAGACAGAGGTCAATTTTAATTTCTGACCATTCTATTATCTCATCAGAATGAACACCAGAAGTCTCAAAATCATATCCAAATAATTCACACGTATTTCAGATGTAATGAACAGTGTAGTGGGAAAGACACAGGTTTTGGAATCAGATAGACCTGGGTTCAAAACCAGGCTCTGCCATTAACTAGCTGTGTGGCATCAGGTAATTTACTTACCCTCTCTGAGCCTCCCCTCTCATGTGTAATATGAAGATAATACTTACCTTGCAGGAACACGGTGACGATCAAATGAGATATTTCTGGAAAAGTACCCGGTATGGAGCCTTGCATATAGCAGATAACAAATGACAGCTATGACCATTAAAAACAGCTTCACAGAAACCACAGTCACATGTTCTTACTTGAGAAAATGAGGGTGGCAACTTTATATGGGTCACTCAAGTCTTTTTTGAAAATTTACCAGTCCATTAAATCCAAGAGGCTGGGAACTACTTGTAATTCTCTGAATGACCCCGAATAAAGTTCCTTTATGCAGGCCAGTTCTGACTGCTTCAGTTTCTGGGCATCTGGGTGGAAATTTTGGCTCCTGGAGGCTGGAAGACTACTCTGGCTTCGTGGTAGACCATTTATGGATGGGCTTGGGAGGGTCACTATTCTGCCAAGGAGGGTATTTTGTCAGGATATTTTGTGGACATTCTACTGCCCAGGGTGTCCATTCTTGTGTGAAGAGCCTGGTTGTACCAGAAGCTGGCCATGCCCTTTTGTTGTTCATAGTGACAGAAGTGTGACGACACAGATAAGGGCCTTCAGCAAAACAGAACTGCTCTTTAATGAATAGGCAACTGGGTCAAAGCACTTCCGTTGAGGTTCCCTTCCTTCCTGCAGATAGTCCACTACTTCCACAGAGCGCACATTTTTGCCCGTTACACAATGACTCCACCCCACTCCCGCCATTCATATCCTGAATTCAATCTTTCACTCATCCTCTAAGGATTGGCAGTTTGAAGCTATTGTTATTGTGTGGCGGCCCTGCCTGACAGCTATTGCTGTTGTGGGTCAAGGTCAGACTTCTATGAAATACCTGGGTGTTTTACAGGAAGGTGTTTGTGGTGACTTCTCAAGGGAGTGGAGCTGTTCAGGAGTCCCTCTAGGTGGGCACATGCTGAGGGGCTGGCCAAGGCTCTATTTAGCTCACACTGCTCTCGTAGGGGAAACTCAGACCTCCTTCCCCTTCTTTTTTGCTCCCAACTTAGGGGTGCTTTAAGGAGTAGTTTAAAGAACGGAGGCTGCCCAGGCAGAAGGGCCAGAGGAACCTAAGTGAGCCCACAGAAAGTATGTCGGGGGGTTCAATTTGCTCAACTTCTGGAGCAGCCAGGGATGGCTGAGGTGCAGCTTGCTAACAGTAGCCTCCCCTGATATCCGTCTGAGATGCTCACTTGCCCACTTGGCTACCTAAGCCGGAGGGAAACCACCACAAGCATTACCAGGGATTTACGAATACTATCTTCTAGCTCACGGGAAATGAAAATGTCCTTCCAGTGTATAAGCCTTGTTCAACTTTCAGATATTTGACTGTCAAAAATTTCTCAGAATCCATTAAGTAGTGCAGTATGGGACCGCCTGTACGTTTTTGGGTTATTTTACTTTGATCTGTGTGATATTGCTGTCATCACTTCATAGGCTCTGATGAAGTTTAACATTTTACTAGCTGATTTCCCACTATCTGTCCATTTACTCCCGTGCTCTGGGTAGACCATTAATTTGCACATGCTGTTCCATCTGGTTGACATGCCCTTCCTCCTGCTTTCCATGCCTAATGTGTCTACTCACTTTCTCAGAATTAGTTCCACGGCAAGAAACTTGAACAGATACTTCACGAAAGGGATTTTTTCAAATGGCCAATAAATATATGGAAAGAGACTCTACCTCATTAGTAACCAGGAAAATGCAACTAAAAATCACAACAGGATACCACTGCATACCCACTGGAATAGCTAAAATCAAAGAGTGAACATTTCAAGTGTGGTGAGGATATGGAGCAATGAGACTAATACACTGCTGGTGTGAATGAAATTGGTACAACCATGTTGGAAAACTATTTGTAATTTGTTGAATATGAGCACAACTTATGATCCAGCAATTTTCCTTGTAGACACATACCCAACAGAAACTCAAGCATGTATACATTAAAAGACATGTACAAGAATATTCAGGAGCAGCATAATTTGCAATAACCTAACACTAGAAATAACCCAAATGACCATCAATAATAAAAGGGAACAAACTGTGACATAGTCACATAAGAAAATACTATACAGCAGTGAGAATGAATGAATTACTGCTGTAGGCACCAACGTGGATGCATCTCACAAAAACATACTGTTGAGCGAAAGAAGTCAGACACAAAAATTAAATGCTGTGCAATTTAATTTATTTGAGGTTAAAAAACAGGCAAAACTAACTTATGGCGTTAGAAGTCACAATGGTGGTTCTTGATGGGGGGTGGGTATGCAGGGGGCTTTCAGGCACTGGCAGTGTTCTGCATCTGAGTGGTAGTTACATGGGCGGGTTGACTTTGTGTAAATTCATCAAGCTATACACTTAGGACTTGCATACTTTTCTGTATGTATTTCTAATTTAAAAAAAAAGTTTTTTAAAAGGTATGTGTGTGTCTGTGTGTCTTTGTAGAAGAGAGTCAGTTCAACAGTTGGCTCCTCCCCAGGCCGTGGGAGAACAGAGCAGGCCAAATCTCCATCCCAGCTCTCCAACACATTGTCCATTGGTTGGTTTATCTATGCTCTGTCTGGCAGGAGATTTAAACGTGTGTGGTTTCTTATGACTTGTATGCATACTTCAGAGGTGTTCAATAATGTTGGCTGACGAATTTCCTTTTAGTTTTGTAAATACAGAATTCATCCTTGTCAGATTGTTTATTGTACTTGGATATTATGAGCATTACCCAGGTGCCGTTAGGCACATAGGCCCATATTTATTTACATAAAAAATCTACATATACTGTGTATTCATTTACAAAAACAAACCAGAGCGGTATCTGGATGGCTAGCACTGAACTACATTTTTTTTTGAGGAAGATCAGCCCTGAACTAACATCTGTCGCCAAACCTCTTTTTGCTGAGGAAGACTGGCCCTGAGATAACATCCGCGCCCATCTTCCTCTGTTTTATATGTGGGACACCTGCCACAGCATGGCTTTCTGAGCAGTGCCATGTCCACACCCGGGATCCGAACCGGCGAACCCTGGGCCGCTGAAGCAGAACATGCAAACTTAACCACTGCACCACTGGGCCAGCACCTGAACTACATCTTTTGAGCACCAAATCAGAATCTGAATCCTAGCTACTAGACCACCAGGGAAATGTTCAGAATCTGAAATTATACTCTGTCATCTAGAGGTGAATTATCTTGACAAGATTAACCTAGTTGATTAAATAACCAAAAATAGTAAGTTTAATTTGGTTTTATAAGAAAAGACCTTAAATGTGGGATATGTAAATCCATCTATTTAACCTTAACATTTCTCCCTCCTCCTTCCTAACCTTCAAATAGTGTTGACATACATGTCATTTCTAAGCTGATCAGTCTACCTCACCCTAGCTTCATAAAAGGTGAGTCTGCACAGAAATCCCACTGGTTTTTAATACGCAGATTGTATGTTTATATACAGAGATTTGGGTGTGGGGGGAGGGGTTAATGAACATTAGAAGGAGGGCCTAAACCCCCAACCCAAGCCAGCTCTTAGGGCACAGCAATTCTCTCTCTAATAAGCTGTAAGTTCCTTGAGAGCAGGATAGACCTTTTTTCCATCTCCTCATGACACACAGTGGGAGTTCTGTAAGTTCACTTACTGATTTTCATTCCATTAGAGATAAACATGTTTAAAAGGATTTTCTTGTAACAAAATTAATCTGTCAGGGATTATTCATTATGCAAATTTTAGGATTATAACAGAAAATGTGTTCTTTACAGAGGTTTTCAGAAGGTGGTTATTTATTTCTGCAATAACAAATTACATGATCTAAAATATATTCTCTGAATATTATAATAAGAAAGCAAAGGTCATAGATCATATTATGTATCATTTTGGCAGACTGGGTTTAGCAGCATATCTCTTATCACTCTACTTCCACTTTGTAGAGGCAAATGTTTATTTTTGACTGATATTTACAAATGTTGAATACAGCAATACAGAATACTGAAAGTAACACTTGCCTTTAAAGGAACACAAACTGATAAAAGAATATTTATAGGACCTTCTACTTGAAAAGGTCAAAGTGCTAAAAAGATATAAATGGCCCTTAAAGCCACACCAGTATGTAAATATACCAAATGCTCTTGCATTCTTACTGATCTTGCAACCATAGAAAAATGTCTAAGCTGGTTAATATTTGTCTTCTTGATCTGATTATTTATTTCTATTTCCCCCATTCTTTGCTATTCATGAAGTTTACAATCAACCATATTTTTAAAACAGACCTTTCATTATTCCCAGATCAAACTGCGATTATACATGATTCTCGCAAATTCCCAAGAATTAACTAGGGGGGTTTTCTAGAACTTGGAAGATCAGATCCTGGATAAAAAGCTACTGCTAATGAAAAATTATGGCATCGATTTAACTCAATTAGAGTTTCCTTAGCAATATTAAAACAACAGTTTCCTTTGGTCACTTGAATTTAACTCCTTTGCTACTAATCCTAACTCTCATTAGCACTGAGGGAAACCTACCATGATCACTCAGGAAAGAAAAGAAGAAATTTAAGTATCCACTGAGGGGCTGGCCAGCAGTGTAGCGGTTAAGTTTGCACATTCTGCTTCAGCCGCCGGGGGTTTGCTGGTTAGGATCCTGGGTACAGACCTATGCACCGCTGGGCAAGCCATGCTGTGGCAGGCGTCCCACATATAAAGTAGAGGAAGATGGGCATGGATGTTAGCTCAGGGCCAGTCTTCCTCAGCAAAAAGAGGAGGATTGGCAGCAGATGTTAGCTCAGGGCTAATCTTCCTCAAAAAAAAAAAAAGCATCTATTGATAAAGTCGGCAAATATTTACATTAATTTAGGAGATTTTAAATATTTAGTTGATTAAAAATAGAAACAAGCAACCAAGCAACCCCCGTCCACCCCTCAAAAAAAAGGAAAAGGAATGAAGAGAGAAGGAAAGGAAAGGAAACTGTCACTTTCCATGTAGCAATTCATCCTAATGAATTATTTCATAGATGTTTAATACTCTTTTGTTAATTTGCTTTTATACATAATTGACATGTTTTATGCCCAAGTAAAGTTTTTTTTTTCTTTTTAGGAATGAGTTGGGTCATTTTAATAAAAGCTATAAATAAGTTATTAAAATTTGCATGCTTCTCTTCCCTAATTAGGAACACAAAAGAGGTAACAAGTCAGGTACAATATTTTGCTGTGGATTACTAGTCACAGTAATCTGCATCAAAACTTCATTAATACAATGCTCTTGTAACATTAAAGGATTTGAATTAACATTGCATACCACATAAAAGAGATGAAACATGAAAAAATGTTCAATCACCAGAAGGTTTGACTACAAAAGGAATAAATGGTTTCCTAAATGGGTGACGTCATCATATTAGTAAAACCATCACTTCCATTTAAGAACATTTTATGTACAGGACTACTAACGGGTTACGTCAGCTATTCATTCCAGCAACAGTGCTCACCTGTGTTTCCCAATCTTGCCTTTTTTGTTTGTTTTGGTTTGCCCTTTTAAAATTTTATCATTTAGACCTATTTTAAATATCTTCTTTCCCTTAGAAATTCTGATTCATGAAGTCCCAAGTTGCAACCTGGAAATCTTTTTAAATAACTATTACCCCCTACACACTTGGCCACCACTCTAGGTGATTTTTAAAATTAGACCAGTTTGGGAAACACTATTCTACATCAATCAGGAGAGATGAGAAGCAAAGTGCTGTCAATTCTGCTTTTATTTCTAAACTCCAAACCAGACAAAAACATCAACATAGAGGATTTTATTAGCTTCATTACATGATTCAAAATGTTTTAACAAGGACATTTATTAAGGACACACATCCAGAAAAAGTTCTCATATACACCATCCTCATCTTTAATAAATGAAGAAGACACTTGTTTTCATTAATCACTTTATATAACATAATTATCTTTTAGGCAATTTATCTACAAGATGAAACAGAATAAGACATTTTCAAATTGTTGTCAGAGACAGAAATAAAAGGGGAAGTATATATATATATAGAATAACTATAACTTTTGTTTCACAAGCCTTATATGTCAAATAAGACATACTTTCACTTTTTTCAGGACCACAAGTATAGCTATAATTTAAATCTGTAATAAGATATTTCACATTAAATGGCATGAGTCTAAGCTGCACTTTCCAAGCAAGTGGTGGTTTAGTCCAAAAGCTTGAAAAGAAATGGTAGCTTATTCTATGCAAAAAGTGAAGTGTAACTTTATGCATCTTACATAATTCTCTTCGTGACTGAGAACTTCAAGAGTAGTATAAAAATCCATAAAAGCTTAAAAATAAAGTAGGTTCTAAATAAGAATGCAAACAAATATCCGTGTTGAAAAACTGAACTCTTCCATTGCCTTCATTTTTTCCCTTATATTCCCTGTTTTAAAAGGTAAAAATAAGGTCCTTAGCTAGTTCATCAGTCGATAGCAGTTTCAGTGGATTATTTTCATCATTAGACTATTATCAGGCTGAGCAAGGCTGGTCCTTATCAATTTCTTTGGTTTCAAAGCCAGGAATCACAGGGAAAAAGCCAAAAAAATGTTTTATTCAACACGTGAGGTGCACTTGAGTGGTCTGTCCACACAGCCTTAACCCTTGTTCTCTTAAAGTGAACACCATTCACACAGTGGGCAAACTTCTGCTTCTCCAACGCCTTAAAATTAGCTTTAAAACTGGAAAACTCCAAAATACACACCTTAATCGTTTATGTATTCTCTATGGATGGACTAAATAATCTAGGGATTTTCTTTCATGCTCTTTACGTCTAACAGCAGACAAGATTCGGCCAAATCCAGGTGAAATATTTTTCCCATCTACTACTCTGGCCACACCAACTAACTATGCAGATCTCACCAGACCGCCTTTCAAAATGCAGAGAACTACAAGTAAGGAGCTAGACTTTTCTAAATATAGTCCCGTCATGTTTATTTCACGCTCATCCAGTAGGTCACTAGCGGCAACAGGCAGCTATGGACACTTAGAAGCATCTCTCAAAGCAAAATCAAGAGGCGTTTGACAGCTACGTCATCTACCTGTTGAACCTGGGCCATTGCTCCCGACAGCTGTCAGATCCCAGCTTCTACGACCTAGAAAGGCTAATGATCGAATTTTTTTTTAAAGTTGTTTGCTAATCTTTCTTCCTACTCTATTTCTTTCGGGTCACTTCTGCAGAGCCGAGGGAGCTGCCAGAGCCGCCGGAGCCGCGAGCTCCTCCGCCTGGCTGGTTGCAGCAGCGATGCGAGGCGGGCCGGGCCGGGTGGCAGCCTCGCTGCAGCGGACAGAGGTCATCACAGGCCGGGCGGAGAGGCTACGAGCCCTTCCGGCCCAGATTTACTCACCTACGGTCAGCAGAGGCGATGGGGTGCAGGCTGTTCGCCCAGCCCGGGGACCCAGATCCGAGGAGGAGGGGGGCAGTGGCGCCGGGGCGAGAGGGGCGTTAAGGAGGAAAACGTATTACCTAAGCCAGGGATGCGGAGCCGAGAAAGAGGGTGCAGCCTTTCCCTCCAGAAACGGAAGAGGCGGGGGAGGAGGAGGAGGAAAGCGCGGAGGAGGAGGTGGCGGGGCGAGGGCGGCTAGCAGAGGGGCGCCAGGCGTCTGGCCGCAGGCTCAGCCGAGGGCGAGGGCGGGGAGCGCGGCGGAGGTCAGCGGAGGGGAAGGCGAAGCCGGGTGGCGCGCTGCCTCGCTCCGCCCTGGATCGAGACCTCAGCATCCGCCAGGCCGCCGCCCCCTCTTTTCCCCGGGGACCGCCGCGTGCGGACGCGCGGTGACGCCTCGAGGCTCCCGGGTTGGGTGAGGGCATCCCACGCCTGCCGGAGCCGGGCGTCTGCGACGTCACAATTGGAGCGTG